GGGTGGTGGGGGGAGAGTGGGGGGCGGCGAGGACGCCCGGGCGGAGATGGAGAGGCGGGGAGGGCGGCGGAGCATGCCCCCGTGAGAGAGGCCAGACGGTGTGGGAGAGAGCGGAGAGTCGCACACCTTTGTGTCCGTCTTGTCGGCCTCGCCCTTGGAGTGGGCCGTGGTGGTCGTGCAGTCCGTCTTTTTGCTCGTGGAGCCCGAGGTCTTGATCGGATCCTCAGAGACGCAGAGCTCGGCGAGCGGCAGCGGCGGCTCCGCGCACCACACAGGGGCGGCGCCGCCGCCGCACGTGACACCGACGGAGTTGGCGGTGGAGTCGGCGAGCGAGACGTCGCCATTCTTGACCGCGCCGGTGGTCTCGCCAAAGGAGGCGAGCTCGGCGTCGGCCGCGGCGCCGATGGGCTTTAGGGTGGTCGGGGCGGCGGCGCGCGAGGCGGCGCCGCTGAACTTGGAGAGATAGGCCGGGATGGAGAAGGTTGGATGGAAGGTGGCGACGTCCGGACGGGCACCGAACAGCGCCCCCCCACCCCCGAGGACGTATTGGTGGAGCAGGAGCCCCGCGGCCTTGTTGGGTTTGCGCGAGGCAGACGCCGCGAGGGCGAGCGTCGGCGCGTCGTTCTCGAGCTTGATGCTGAAGTCGGTGCGGTTGCGCGTGTCGATGAGTGCCCCCCCGCGCCGCGGACGTGGGCGAGAGGCGGCGGTTGAGGGCGTCGCGAGAAGAGCGAGGGCGAGCATGACGGCGTACAGCAGATGTAGGCGGATGAGCGGGCAGAAAAAAAACACGCGTGCGGAGTGTGTGTGTGTGTGTGTGTGTGTGTACACTCACTCACTCACTCACACGCGTGAGGATTGTGTTGTTCAGGGCGGCTCGCACAGTAGTGTGTGTACGTTGGACGAGGTGTGGTGTGGACGCGAGAATACTTAGCTCCGCCGTTCATGGAGGTAACCGATGCGAGTGCGCGGCGCATCCCCGGCGGCCCGACGGTGGCCGGCGCTTGCGCGCCAGCCCCGTCCGCCGCCGGATCCGCGGCCGCGGGGTCCCTGTCATAGCTACCGGTACGCGCGCCATGGGGCGACTTTGTTATGTACATTATCTCGTGCAACGACCCTCCTGTGGCTGTGCGCTGTGCGCTGTGCGCCTCGCGCTCCCGGAGAGAGAG